GGCAAAGTCCCTCTCTGATTGAATTGAGTACAATGGTTAACATTTTCATTGCCATGTTACATTCAAAAGAAAAGGCATAGAGCACTGATGAGATAAGATTAGATATCAGATAAAACTTTAGTTTGTAAGCTCTTTGTTGGCCATACATCTCTCTCTGACTGTCTGAGAACACAGACAAAAGAGCCTAAAATCAGCGTGTAATCCTCCATGATCTGTCTGTAGCCGAGGTCAGTGGGTTCAAGGGGATGTATACAGACTGGGCCACCTGACACTGACCATATGGACAAGTGAAACCTATTACCGTACTGTAAACTAAACAGAGAGACAGGGGAGCAGAGGAGGAAAGAGAGAAAGTAAGTGTGAGATCAAAAGACTTTACTTAGGCTCTACTGCAATCATGTTTGGATTAACCGTCATTAAAGGTACAAAATACCGCAGTGTGAAAAGGGCTGGTGTCTGAAAGCCTCCCTTGACTTCTAATATAGGTTTGCAATAAAGTTACAGTATGACTATTGGTTTGTGACTCCAGTGGGAGAAGTCAGGAAGTATGTGAAATATGCTGTAATCACAGATATTCCCATCAGACTACAGAGGAGCAGCACCATTTCAGGGAGGTGACAGAGCACTTGAAGGGGCTGATAGAGGCAACTAGGCCAGTCTGGTTCTATCTGTCTGTCGTCGCCCGGTGGATCGTGTGAGTAAGGAGGGAAGGGGACAGGGAGGCAGATTTGGGGGGGCGGAGTTAGGTTCCTCGCATTATCGCTTCTGTGGCTAACACTGATGGAAATACAGTCAGTTAAACAACATTTCGTAACACTTTATCTGGATAGTCTGCCTACAGATTTGTAACATTTCAGTCTTATTAGGAGTGCATTAGTTGAGATTCAACTGTTTTCTGACACCACTTTGGTTAAGGTTTGGTTAGGTTAAGTCACAAAATCTTGGTTAGCATATGTTCATGAATTGTCACATATACTGTTGAAACATTTAGAGACAAAACAAAACATTTCAAAGTGGCAGTAGTTGAAGGTATGAAAGCTGTGCAAGAGCAAAGAGTTTTTACAACAACAGCTCTGGCCAGGGGAGTGGGTGGGACTCCTGATGACATACAGTGCTGTATATGATCCCACTGCCTATGAATGCATGACAACATGCAGGACAGCACCTACTTTTAATGATTCACAAAAAAGCTACACAAAACAGTCACTGTAGTGTAAACATACAGCACTAACAATATATACAGTCATACATTTATCTGCCTCCAAAACCTGTTTTTGATACTTTGAGTAAAAAAACTAGTCAAACTGATTTTGTTGTAGGAAACAACATTTTCTTAAATCCAGTGATGAGTGTTGACTTGATTTGGTCATGGAGCGTGTGTAACACATTAGCTTATAGGCTCTCTAGTCACACCACTGTGTCTCTAAATCTAATTTAAAAGCTGGTCCAATTCAATTTTATGTCTGCACAGCTTGACAATCAACATTCGCAGTCAGTGGGGAAAGTGAATTTGAAGGTGAGTTGATGACATTCAGGATGACTCTTCATTTATCAGCAGAGCTCAGTTTACATTAAAATACATTTTTGTTAATGCTCTAAAAATGTTTAGCCATGCTACACAGAGTGATAAACATAAATGTTCTATCTGTTATGGAGCGCACCAAACCATTGTATAACCACAGGATAAACATGCACAATGGGTGGCATGATGCAATAAGTGAGCCTTCTCTTCGACAGGAAATAAAGGTGAAGGCACTGCACTCACACACTGTTTTTGCAGTTAACCAGCTGTAACCATCACATTTCCTTGAAGAGATAAAGAATGTGTTTGGTGTGTCTAGATTTGTATTTTTTGGCAGGCTAGAATCTGTTTTGTTAATTTTGGCAAATTGTCTATT